AGTTTCGCCCTATAAGTCCGAAACCCTCCGAAACTAGTTTCGCCCAATTTGATCTGCAAATGATCTGCAAAATCGGGATTAGCCCGAAACACTGACTGGCTCCTAATACTGATACTAGCGCTCAATTATACCAAATACCAAACTTTAATTCTAAGTGTTATTTATTCATATGAATATATAGTAGCATATAAATCTAGTAAATCTAACATATGAAATTACATAGAAGTTTAAATGTGGTCTATAGATAAGTATACAGAAATACAGAAACCTTTATTTGCGTATATTAGGTTAGTTAAATTAACCAGATAAATGTGAATTCACCCTACACATAGACCCAGTTCTTGGTTTTTGCATGCCCGTGCCATGTAGCTATCTTATTAAATACATACCTAAATTAGATTATATTCTGATTGTTAGCATAGATTATGGTAACAAAATAATCTTGTTAAAATTCTTAAAGCAATATCGGGTATGTCACTATATCTAATTTACTATAGAAGCCCAATCTAGATTTACTATCTAATAATTTCAGAAGACTTTCTTGCTTTGCATACCCTATGACCATCATGTAACTACCATCTTTAAGCTTTTAGTTATTTCATAAATTGCAATTGCCGAATTGCCCCCATGTTCATGTTGATTTTTACCTAACAAATATTAATTAGAATAAGTAAGATTATTATACTTTAATCATAATACTATAGCGATGGCTGAAGCAAAAAAAAATACACTCTAAAAAATTTCGAAAATCTCATATTTAAGATTTCCAGCTTCAATCGTAATGATAAATTTTAATACTTCTAAAAATTTTTGGTTTATATCTTTAGAATTATCATGACTTTTTAAACAAACATCTGTTTATAAACGTATTTTTAATCATTCTTCTGATATCAAATCTTGTAATATATCTGTATATCCATACTGCTTTAAAAACAGTGCTAAGACCTTCTTTAGCAAAATTTTGGTCAAATTCGACATATCTTCACTGTTTTATTCTATAAATATCTTGGTATGTTAATGGGTGGATCAGTGGTGGCAAAAATGATCCTTGGTTTGTGATTTCTGAGCAAAATATATCCAATAAAAACTCAGAATATCATACATAAAATTAGGCTATAACTTTCACTGCGAATTCTCCGATATATTATAATTTACAGAATTCGAAAAATTACTCAGAAGTCACAGAACCAAGGATCATTTTTTGTAACCACTAATCCACCTGCATATTAATATTCTTATCATCAGTTATATCTGCCACAAAGGAAAATAAACTTCTGAGCTTTTGATTTTATTATTTATCATATTCAATCCTCTTGTTGATAACTAACAAATAATAAACTTGAAAGCCCGAAGCTTCATTTTTCCTTAGCGGCATTTATATACATCGCTGATATATTTGGTGATGTATTAATTAGTAAAGTTAAATTAATGATGAGTATAGTAAAGCACACTATACAATACGTAAAAATAAAGTAATAGTGGTATTTATAAGGTAAAAAAAGAATGAGTAAGTGCAGTAAGTGTAATAAATACTTTTTAATAAAATTCAAAAAAAACCACTTTCCTTTATCCTTTATCCTTTAAAGTAAAATTATAACCACAAATATGTTACCACCACCTCCTGCAACATATAATAGTGTTAATGAACTTCTTAAAAATGTTCAAGCATTTGCTAATTCTCAAAGTTACATGTTGGTTAAAAAAAGAACACATAAGGATCGACGTGTTAGCTTAAAAAATATTCATTACATTGTAACTGAGGTAGAATTTATAGTAACTCAAGAACACTACAAAGGCAAACAAGTACTCGATTAATAAACTGTCCTTTTGAAGTAAAAGCTATCTGAAGTGATGGTAAATGGCATGTAAAAGAAGTTCGTAATGTTATTCATAACCATGATCCCTCTGAAGACTTATCTGAACATCCACTATCTCGTCGACTCACAGAGCAACAATTAACAAATGTTGAAGAAATGACTTCATCTGGCTCATATCCTTGAGAAATCATAACAACTATTTGTTAAAATGATTCATCAGCATTTGTAAGAAGTAAAGATATTTATAATGCACATGAACGACTTCGTCAACAAAATTTAGCTGGTCATACTCCAGTTGAGGCATTAATAGATGAGCTTAAAGAGAGTGATTACATTTATAAATACAAATGTAATGATATTGGTCAAATTACCCACCTTTTCTTTACACATAATCAATCAATAAAGCTTACTCGTCGATATTCGTCTGTTCTTCTTATGGATTGTACCTATAAGACGAATAAATTTAAAATTCCTTTGCTAAATATCGTCAGAATAACTTGTTTTAATACTACCTTTTTTTCATGTTTTACCTTTATGAAAGATGAGAATGAAGAGGATTATCTTTAGGCATTAACTTGTGTTGCTCAATTATTTGATGGTATAACAAAGCCTGGCATCATAGTAACAGATAGAGAACTAGCTATTATAAATACTCTTAGAACAACCTTTCCAAATTCAACTAATTTGTTATGCCTATGGCATATTAATAAAAATATAATGAAAAACTGTAAATTGCAATTCGGAGGTAATGAAGAGCAGGCCTTTCTTTCAGAATGGAATAAGGTTGTTCAATCACTTACAGAAGACGAATTTAATATAAAATAGAATGAGTTTTGTAATAGTTATATAAACAAACCTAACACTAGAAGCTATCTTGAAAAAGTTTGGATTTCTTGGAAAGAAAAATATATAAAAGCATGGAAAAATAAGATTCTTCATTTAGGAACAACCATTACTTCTTGTGTCAAAGGTTCACATGCAACTATTAAAACATACCTTTATACATCAGCAGGTGATCTTCATGATGTCCATATAAAAATTTCTCTGGCAGTAGAAAACCAAAAAAAAGAAATAGACACCATGGCTGCATCAGAAAAAATTCGCATTCCAATTTTTGCACAAAATAATTCCTTATATGAAAATATTAAGGGCAAAGTTTCAACTTTTGCTCTTAAAAAGGTAGAAGAGCAGTATCAAAAGATTACACAAGAACCTTTGCCACCATGTACCGAATATTTCTCAAGCACAATGGGATTGACTTGCGCTCATAAAATCCAACTTCTTGAAAATCATCAAGGCTTAACACTTGATGATTTTTATAGACATTGGTGGATTCAACCCTGCTCATCCATACTACCTGTTGGAGAAAGCAACGAATTACAACCTCTTTTGCAAGCTCTACAAGAAAGGTATGAAGAGTGGCCAGAACACCAGCAAGCAACTATCCGGAAAAAATTAAACAGCATAATTAATACCTCAACAACGATCTTGCAAAGAGGAAGACCTCCTGTGCATCTAATCGTAGAACAGATAATTCAACCAGAAGAGATCCTTCTGGGTTTGAGTTAATGGAACGTAGGGTAAGACAATGCACTTTCTGCAAGCTGCCCGGACACTATGCTAGTACTTGCCCAACTAAAACCTAAATCGATACAGTATCACTTTTGTTAGTAAATATTAATATTAAGTCGAAGTATATTGCTGTTATAAATGCTATGTTTATATGTTAGTATATTCATACGATGTACAGTTGACAACTGATAATCTCTGTAAAATTACATGATCACAATTATCGTTATACCTGTGTAATCCAGTAATTAGAGTAATGTTAGCCATGCCTATTAAGGAATGAAATATTAATACTTATCGAGGATATGATTTGCATCTGTGCGATATCAAATTGAAACTGAACTTCGAATTTAATTTTTTGATTCCTCTTTATATGTTCTATAATACTACAGAGCCATTTTTTTATTTACATGTTTTAAAGCAAAATTAGCTACGAAAACATAGTGTTAATAAAATGAAAGATGGTTTTGTAGCATTATAGAGCATGCTAAGAGGAATCCAAAAATCATAGTTGCACTGTAGTAGAAGTACGAAGTTTACATATACCTCGATTGAATTTTTATCTCTATTTATACGTATGCATACTCAATCCGTTAAGTTATATAAAGCTATCCCAACCTGCATTGGTGTCTACTTTTGAGCTACATTCTCAGATTACTTATAACTTTGGTCATATATTTGACCAAGTTTAGTCCTGCTAATTATGATCTAAATTGCCTTTTAGTTTCTTTAAAATATATACAGGTACGTATGAGCAGTTGCAGTCGCAATAGTCTAATATTTAATAAAGCGGATAAACTTTATATGTATTGCATTATACGTAGTATAAATAATTAACAAAAAAAAAACTATATTACATCATATGTAATTGGCTAAAATGTTTTTTACGGGGAGGGGGGTTTGAATAGCAAAAACGGGGGTACAAATAGTACCACCCTAAAATTTTTTAATAAAATTTTTAAATCGTTATAATGTCTTATCGTTATATATCGATATAGTATAATTTG